AGTCTTGGAGGGTTAAGGATGTCTAAATAGGGTCAAAACCCTAAAAATTAGGGTTTGTACCCTGGCCATGTACGTCCAGCGTACCACATGTACGCACAACGTACTCAATAAAACCCATGTACGCCCAGCGTACTCACGCAGTCCTCAAATTATAAAAATGCCACTGAAGACCAATTTGCAAACAATTCTCATACTAAGGGGTTAAAAGGTACATACTTGAAAATCAAGATGTTACAATTCTCCCCCACTTAAATCAGACTTTGTCCTCGAAGTCCACTGCCGAAAATAACTCAGGGTAGTGTTCTCGTATCTCCGCCCCAGCCATTCAGACAATCCACCCCGAAACTCGATCCGAACACAAATTCAGCTTATTCAGGCAACTACTTTCGCATACTATATTTAACCCAATCTTAACGAAACTTACCACCCCGACCAATAATGAATCCTTGACCCGCAAACATTTACCAATGAAGAAAAGCATCACAATCTACCCAAAATCCGGAAATCCAATACCTCGACCGACTCTTAAGCAAGCAAAACTATCTCAGAACACAATCAATACGACTTCACTTTACTATCTGAACCATACTGAACCCTTCCGGCCCCGAATTACCTTGCTGATACCATTTGGGAAACAGAACCCCTAACTATTCACTGTTGTTGTACCCTTCATTCTTAAAGAAGGCGACTCCCAATACGAGTCTCAACTTGATAACGTTGTAGAGAAACACGTACAACGCCAACACATTCCACAACTTCCTAACTATAAGAATGGGAACCTACCCCTTGTCTTTGACTAAGAACACCACTAAATACTTGGAACAAATACTCAAAATACACCGATCGCGAATTTCAACCAATCCCAAATCCAATAGTTGTACAAAAAACCTTTAATACACCCTTGACTCCTAACACGTCATTACCAACCGACTACTCCTACGAGAAAATATAATCAATCCAAGAATTTTCACTTTGTATCCAAATCCTTATCAGCTTAGGTGTACCCCCACCTAGCAAATCACTTGAGTCATTGATAATGAATTTCATGACTTGAGGTTCCATAGTCGATACTCAACCTTGGTAACCAAACTCCTAATAAACATCCCGCGAGCAAATAGGGTTCATAATGCAAACACTTCGCAAGGGACTTATGATGCACAACTATTACTCCCAACAACCTTTAATTGCCCACATGATCCAAATTAGTTGGTCAGTGAGTCTCCCGACTTCCAACAATGTACTAACACTGAAAGTACCACATGCAAAAAAAATAAACAATCATGGTCACTGGGCCTAAATCCTATGTCTGGAATACCCCTACAAGGTGCTCAGCATTAGTCTGGATTGCCTTTGAGCCCACAACATGAGTCTGGAATGCCCTTCCTGAAACTCAGCCCATGTCTGGCATGCTCCCGGTATAACGCTGATCCTGTCGTCATTCATCACTCGCCTGAAAACTCACGACCAACACCACGGGGACCTAAAGATACTCAATCCTCATTCCACCGCCTTGCATGAACCCAATCAACGTTCCTCTCAATACTAACTGAACACAACACCACCATACTCTTTTACCACACATAATTCCTTTAACAGTACAAGCTACAACCAACGCAAAATCTGATGAAAACATAGTCGCACACGACCAGAGAATGGGATAGACGGTCGCAATCGTGTTCCAGTTCAGAGGCTATAACCCAAATATGAACCATGCATAATTCGAACCAAGTGCTCCATTGTTATCTTGTCCAGTCCACATACACCCCTCACAACAATATCTATTGAACTTACCACAATACACACCCTTAAGAGAACCCACAACCTTACCAAAAGGGTGAAATACCAGAGATCTAATGAAGTGAAGAATCTCAATCATTAACAGAAAAAATCCTCATGAATGATCGAAACAAGATCCCATACCTTGATTGAGACTGAACAGACCCCATTAATACATAACTATCTCGATAAAACTTTTAAAGTTATCCAGAAATGTTGCTAAAACTCTGGTCGGATCCATCTAAATACCACCCCTGCCAGCACGACATGCCAAAAAAAATTAGATTCTACGTAAATCTAATGTCCCGCCTGGAAAATTGAACAACATTGTCCCAAATTCTAGACTCCCAATAACCAAGAACATCTTCCAAACTCGAGCCGAACTTGATGATAGGTTGATGAATCCATTGAACTTCAACTGATACAACTCAAAACTTCCGAGGAATCTCTGCTTTGATGATGAATGAAATGACGAATGATCGAGCATGCATTGAAACATAATCCAATGAACCATAACCCATGCACAGCTAAACATACCCATCTCTGAAATTAATTTCCCGATTGACAACTACCCAATCTAGACGATAAATAGCAATCCATATAGCGAGTTGACAAATCCATCAACAACCGATACTCAACCTGAGTGCTCCTAGCGCCTCTTCATCTATTCATTGGCATCCCAAAAGGAACCAATGGCTACAATGAGATCCTTGATCAAATACTTCCTGCTACGAGACAACTCGTGTATTTCCTAAACACATACATCTTATAGCCACTTACTCTACACCAGTGACTCGACCAAATCTTGAATAGTAGTCTTGTATAACCGCACCGTAGATCCATGTGAACCATTCTTCTGACATCACAAACTCGAACAGATCAATGATCCTCCAAGCAGAATTCCTAGTTCTCCCCCACTTAGGGTTCGAACTACCACCTGCTGGGGTCACAACCAGGTACAAACCATCCCTGACTCTCGGAATATATAACACACGCAAGATGATCTTCTGGATAAGGACCATACAAACCTTATGAGATTCTGAATCTCAGATGAAGACTTCAGAAATTTCCAATCATGACCACTTCTGAAATTAAGAACCCCGCACAGATCCCAAACAATAACTCTAAGAGTCCATTCATAGCATCGATTTTCTACCCTGAAACAAATGAATTACCACTTAACTTGCCCACAAACCCCCAACCATCAATTCATCGCGGGGATCATCCATATATACAAGAGGCATCACTCTCATAGTCATGATACATTAGATACAAGAAGAGTTGTCGCTCCCGGTTCACTTCCATCAACCAGCACCTGACCTGCCTATATCCAAGGAAAACTAACCCTTGATCTCATATCAAGGCAACCATACCACAGTAATCCTCTTGTGCATTTCCATACTGTCATACTACCGCCAAAAACCACAACCATCTAGCCCTGTGTTGGGTCTACACCCCGACTATGAAGATCACATGTCTGCTCTCTTTTTCCTCTGAACACATCAAGCTGGAAGAACATAACCCCTCCTGTAGATAGTGACATTCATATCTATCTATCAACCACTTAGCATACGGCTGCAATCCTTGAGCCGATCATAACAATCACTTTCATCTTGAATCCCGTGACTCAACTGGCATTACCTCGAGCAAGGCCTTCGAGACCTCAAAATCCACTCATTTCCCTAGGTTTGCACCATTCAAACCCAAACTGACATGGCCACTAAGTCTCCAACAATCACCAGACCCATCCTCATGCCCGAACAACCATAACCAAAAGATCGATAGATATGGAAACATTGCCACGAACCATGGGATTAAACCATGCTACCTATCCTTAACCTGCCCTTTTACAATCCTCGTGACTTCCTTTGATTCGAGTATGGATCCTATGCTTCTAGTAGTACGGGCCCAATACTATCTTCCACACCTATCCATACTTTCCTCAAGAGTCAATCATGGGTCCTCCAAGTCACCTACTCATAATAATACTCTCGATACCTACTAAACAGCGTATCACTCGTACTAAAGCACTCCCTAGGCTCTCATTGGATCCCCACCTCACCCTGCCATCAGCTGTTGAAGAGCCCCTATTAACGTCAGCTAACCACTTCATGAATACAATTACATGCAACAAAACTTAAATAATCTTTTGACTAAAAGTCCCAACCCTACAACGGTTAGACCTAGACGAGAGCTGCGCAATAGGGCTGAATCCATCATTCTAAAATTATTTAACCTTTGCAGCATGTAACTAAACATATTCATTTAATAGTTGTCTCACATCAATATGAGTCCCACAAAGCACAAAGCAAGCAACATTCGAGCAGTGAAACCGAAGGGCACTAAGACACCATAAGATCAGGTAGATTCTTACACACAATCTCGGACCACTATGCCCAAACATCAAGGATACACATACATCCTACATTTACTCTCCTAAGAGTGGCTAATCACTCCTCATGCTGGCCTACTATAAACTATATTCACTCATGAAACTTCCACCAACCCTATAGCCGCTCATGCATTCTAATCATACATAACGCCGGATCCTATAGACAGTATAACACTTGACCCTACCTTAATCCCTTCATTAGACCAGAATAAGAAATATGGCTAAATCAAACATTCTCAGGCTATAGAATCTTAGTTATGTACAACTATGATGCACATACTAAGCAACTACAGTAATGATGTCAATTTCATCTAACATACAAGAAGTCCTCCTAGGCTATCTGGTATCATATATACCAGGCAATTGTATCATGCAATCCATGAAGATCCCTAGCCTATCACTAGCATGCAGTTCTATCATAATCATCAATAACAAATAACAGTGTGGTAACTTGGGGTATACTTCTTTCTCCAGCTGATCGTACACATCGCATCCCACCTTGGTTACTTTTGAACATAATTTTTTTTAGACAAAATTGAAAAATGGTCCCTGTGGTATGCAATTTTTTGGGGTTTTAGTCCAAACCACGACTTTTTTGGATTGGTGGTCCTTTTGAGGTAGTTTGCTTGTGATTTTGGTCCTTCGGTAAACAGAAAAGACTAAATTGCCCTTATTTTATTTATTTTCCATTTTTCTTTTTTTTTTCCTATAAATATTTATATATAAAAAATAAAAATAGGGGCCCACATACTCTCTCTCCGATAAACTGAATCCCACAAGCCCCGTCATCTCTCTCTACAACTAATCTCCTCCTTATTCCGACGATTTTCCGATGGAACCGAACGGAAAGAACGCCGGAGCAGTGCCACTGACACCATCGAAGTCGAAGGATTCCAGCAAGTCAAAGCTACCAGAGAATATAAACCCTAACGTTACTAGCCCTAATCTGAAAGCCTTGAATTCCCCGTCACTCAAATCAGCGACTAAAGTCCAGAAATCGGCGATGAAGAAACCTAATCATATCTCTTCGCCTTCTCTCAAGAACAAGATTCGGGAGAGTAAGTTTGTGGTGGCGAAGAAGAATTCGAAGAGAGACAAGGATAAAACCCTGATTTCAGTCGATTGTAAGTGTAAGGCTAGTGGTAATTCAGAAAAATGTTTGTGTGTTGCTTATGAGACTCTTAGGGCTTTTCAATCGGAGTGAAGTTTCTGTTCAAGAAGAAAACCCTAGTTTACCTGTAGGTCTTCAAGGAAAATCCGAAGAAGATGACGTTTTTGAGATGTCCGGTGATAAGAGGAGAAAGGAGAAATTGTTGGATGAACCAAGAAAGAGCATTCCTAAACCTGGATCTGGAAGAGTTTTGCATTTGGTCAAGGCCTTTGAGAATATTCTCACATTACCAGATTCAAATGAGGATGAACTCGAAGATCAGACAAACAACAATCTTGAAAGACGATTCTCTTATACTTCATTCAACCCATTTGATCTCTTACTTACTATAGAAAATCTAGGTTTGTGTTCTTCGCTTGATGGCAGCCATGGGATGTTGGTTGATCATCATCTAAAAACTCTGCCATGAAATTTCTGTTAAAGCAGAAGAAACGGATTCATCATCTTCAAGTTTTTGAGGCAGTAGATGGAAAAGACGAACAATCAAGGATACCTCCCAGTTCATGAAGAAATTTCACTTATAAGTTACAACACTTGTACCTTTTATAAATTTCTTGAATTGATCACATTAACTCATGAATCTGCAACAATTAAAGAGGAAGAATAAAACAAGAAGAGTTCATGAAGAAAGTCGAGGAGATGATAATTCAACAACAAAAGCAACGGATTCCCATCTGAGAGAGAGAGGGAGGGAGGGAGATATGTGGGCCCAAATTAATTATTTATTTTCTTTTTCATTTAAATTAAATAGAAAAAACATAAAAAATATATCAGAAGGGCATTACAGTCATTTCAATTTTACGAGGGACCAAATTTACGTACAAACATGGCCAAAAGGACCACGAAGCCAAAAAAGTCGGGGTTTGGACTAAAACCCAAAAAAATGCATACCACAGGGACTATTTTTGCAGTTTTGTCTTTTTTTTAAAACCATTTGAAAACCTTTTTAAGTTCCATAGTTTGAGTCTGGATTCACACGAATGTTCATCCAATTCTCTTAAACTAAGGCTCTGATACCAACTTGAAACATCCCAAAAATCATGGTAAAATTATCATTTTTCAAAACCATTCCAATGACCTTGAAACATTGTTTCAAAAGTTATAGTCAATAATCAAAGTATCCTAAAATCCAAATAACATAAAATCTGAAGGATGTGCACGATCACGTCCTCGCCCTGAAGTACATGAATACATGCAACCAAACTGTAAGCACAAATCTTAGTGAGTTCCCCCAAAATACCACCACACAAACATATTTAACAACATGCATACTGGGTCCACAACTAATAGACTAGATTACCCATAAGTCCACAACATGAGTCTGGCCTGCCTTCCGGCCCACACCTCATGTCTGGCTTGCTCCCGAGCCCACAACATAAGTCTGGCTTGCCTTACTGGCCCACAGCTTATGTTTGGCTTACTCCCGAGCCCAAACCATAAGTCTAGCTTGCATTACTAGCCCACATCTTATGTCTGGCTTGCTCTCAAGCCCACATTATAAGTCGGGCTTTCCATACTGGCCCACAACTTATGTCTGGCCTGCTCCTAGGTTTGTTGGCTTCTGCACAGATCTGAATTGACTCAACCCAATCATACCATGTTGACATATACATAACAGATAACATGTATCCAACAAACAGATAATCATATAACCAATCAGACAAACAGGCAGATTTACAGATCACTATCGTATAGCAAAATCTTGGATACCAGGACACAGATCTAAAAAATCACTACAAAATAGCAACATCCTCTATACCAGGATACATAACCTAGTGGGTCGGAATTGGTTCTTTCAACCCACAAGTACAATGAGTAAACCTCACCTATCAGTATGAAAAGATTGTTGAACAGAACACAGCTCTGAATATTAGCTCTATAAGTCACATTTCATTAGAACTAGACCAATTTAACTTATAATCAAAATACCCAAAATACATCTAGGTCAAACATTGTAAAAAACAAGTCAAGGTCAAAAAGTCAAAAAGTCCACCGAGACAACTCAGCTGGTACGCATCGCATACTAGCATATTGACCAGAAAAGTAGGTTGTTGACCTGATATGCCCAACGTACCATTGCGTACGCCCAACGTATGCACTTGTCACCTTTTCTTCTATTAAGAGCTTAATCCTTAAGCTCTTTTGTCCAAATTCCAGATCTAGTCCTCAAATGTCGTCCTTTACCGTAAAGTTTCCAACTTTATGGTATTGCATGGCTATTAAGTGCTCAATACCAAAAACCCTAACTTTTTAACTCATTAAGACAACCTAGATCATGCATGGAAGAAAACTAATGACCAAGACTACATTTTTATGGTTTTAGACACTCCAAAATGTCTGAAAGGATAGCTCATATGAATTAGAGTAATCCATACTCATAATACCAAGCTTATGAGACCAAAATGAACACAAAACCATAAATAAACACGATTTAAGAACTTCATCATTATTAAAGCTTTTTACCTCCAAATGGTGTCAAATGATGATGTGATTCTGGATCCAAAGTGTTCCACTCTTCTAAGATGATATTTTCTTCTTTCTTCCTCCTTCAAGATCACCAATACACATACTAATGGCTCAAAATGCTCTCAAATGGATTAGGGTTTGTAAAGGGGTCAAAATGGGGTTGGAGAATGATGAAAGAAAGAAGTCTTTGGGGGGGGGGGGGGGTTAAGGATGTTTAAATTAGGCCCAAACTGTAAAAATTAGGGTTTGCACCCTGGCCATGTACGCCCAGCATACCAAATGTACAACCAATGTACTCAATAAAACCCATGTATGCCCAATGTACTAACATATACACCCATCATACTCACGTAGTCCTCTAATTACAAAAATGCCACTTAAATAATTTTGAACCATTTTAGCAAGTATATTACATGAAAAAGATTAGATGATTAGTGATTCTAATGAATTGATGGCCGATATGGGAAGTGGGAGAGTTATCAGATATATTCCAATTGAAAGGATAAGTGGGGAGAGGTTTGCCAAACTAGAGCAATGATGACAAGGAGCATTTAGAGGAAGAACTCTCTGATGTTTTGTTGTATCTAGTTCAGCTTGTTGATGTTTGTGGTCTTGATCTACCAAGCTGCTCTATCCAAGATTGTCAAGAGTTCCCAGAAATACCCTATTCTAAATTAGTTTTACATGGTCCTTTAATATATTTTCATAAGATGAACCAAGATATATGAAATTAATGTGGCCTACAAGAGAGAATTGAGAAAAAGGTATGAGATAATAATTCTAATTTATGTTTTGGTGTTGTTTTGTTTCCTAGTTTTTTGTTATACAAAATGGTCATAGTCACTCACCAACATATCAAGATTTCTATAAGAAATTCGTGTTTTCTTTTTATGTTTTTTCGTGATTTGTCAATTCTTAGGACATCCAAAGTGAAGTCAATTTTATAGAGTTTAATGATCGTCAATTATTTCTAAGGAGAAAGAAGGTTCACCATATCATGTCATTTTTCCTGATTTAGAGCAGCCTGCTGGTGAAAATCGTGCAACATTTAACCACATGGTAATATGTCACACCCCCAAACCAGAACGGCGGAAACGTTCGGGGGTGGGTGACGTCATGTACAATATCACAACAATGCATAATAGTAATCAAAGTACAACAACCATATATAGCAAAAGTAAAAGTTGTAAATCAATGAAGCTCCGTCTTCTCAAAAACCTGTGGTTACCTGTTTACTGATTTCCTAAGAATACAAGTAGTTTCGAAAAGAGTGTCAACAATTAAGTTGGTGAGTTCATAAGCATGTTTGTAATTGAAATATGTTGTTTATTCCTTTGAAAAATGTAAGTATGGTTTTCCTAGAAAATCCTATATTTTCTGTTGTAATGTGTTGTACTCAAAACATGTAAATGTTATTGTATTCTGAAATAGTATAATGAAGTTTTAAGTCCATATAAAAACCATGAAAAATATGTTTTCTCTGTACTGAAATAATATCATGTATTTGTACTTGTATAATACTGTAATATAGTTTTATTATTAAATAAAATTATGTGAAGTTGTTTACTTATTCATATACTAATTATATAGTTCAATACCAAATTGTGAGTTATTATAACCATGCTAGATGACCTAAAATGGCCTGAACACGACGTTCTTCAGGCGTCGAAATCGGTACGACATTTGTCACCCGAGGCCTGCCAGCCTAACTGTAGCGAACAGTTAAGGTGTGGGATTGTCAGTCCCGTATAGATCTATACACAAGTGTCACGCTCTCCCTCTAGGAGACTCTGGTTATAATTTCAGGACTTGGTTGGTACTTAGATAAGTACATGAAGTGTGTCTCACAAATGCTATATTGATAATTACGTGTAGAATAATGAAAAGTTACCTTGTAATAGATAAACTGTAAGTATGTTTCATAAACTATATTTAATATAGTTTATATGTTTATTAATCATAAGTTATCCTGAATATGTAAAGTAGTATATATGATCCATAAACTATACCTATTATAGTTTATATGTTTGTTTTCCATATTGTAATCTGAACTTTGAAAAGTAGTATGTAAGTTCCATAAACTATACCTATTATAGTTTATATGTTTGTGTTTTATTGAAAAGTAAACCTTTGTATTTTTAATAATTCAATAAGTTTAAATCGAAAAATCTATGATACAGTTGTCCATGAAATTTAATATTTATACCCAAATGGTATTAAAATAGTTTGCAAAAATTATATTTTTGTTTAACAAGTTTAAATTGATTTTATACTTATATAAATATAATATTTATATAATTTTGGTTAAATAGACAGCCGAATAAATAATTCAACCCCAAGCCCACAACCAAACAAAGAACAGGAAATGGAGTCAAATTATCAATTCTAAGCCTGTTTAACCCGAATTATATAATTTATATGTATATAAATATATAATTTTAGTAACGGCAACAAATAATAAATATTTGAAACATTTAAATATTAATACAATTTCTTGTATTTACACTTGTATTCCCCCCCCCCCCCCCTAAAACAATGAAAATTTGTAAAAACGTAGGGGTATGAACTCACCTCAAATGTGATAACGGTTTTGATATCGGGGTAGAAAACGGTAACTTCGGGCTAGAACACGGGAATGATATCGTTATCCTAATGGTTTTAAACATATAATCATGTGTGATTAAGATGATACAATTAATATATTTGATGTATAATACAAGTTTTATTACTAAAACTTACCGAAACTTGTAAGAAGATGGAAGCAAAATGTTCGTGAGATTGGTTTTTGCTCTTGAAAATGAAAGAAAATTTTGAGAGAAAATGAGAGTGATTTCGGTTATGGAGATGTAAAAAGTGTAGGAAATGGTCGAAATGTGCTTTAAATATGAAGAAAAATAGGCGGTTTAAGGGTTTCGGTCAAGAACAAAATCCGAGGAAGGGGGT